ATTTCCTTGGTCTCCACTTCTTTTCTCTTCTTGACTTTCCTTTTCATTTGCAAATAAGGAGAGTCTTGGATCTTTCTCATGCACCAATAAGAAGTGGGAATCCTTTGATTCAAATATAGGCCAATGCGGGCCTCCACTTTCAAGAACATCAACTCCTCCGGGTTCCCACACTCTTCTAAAGTCTTCACTAATGAGAGTATCATTCATTGGAGAGCATTCATCAAATTCACCGTACATGTTATCAACTTCACTCTCATTAACTTCTTCTTCAAATGGGGTGCTATGCAAAAATTCCTTGCCACCATCATCTTGAATCTCAATTTGAGTCTCAATCTTGTCTTCTTTCTCATTCAAATGGTTGGATTCAAGACACTCCTCAAGCACTTCATTTTCAAGATATTCCCTTACATTCTCATCTCCATCAACCTCATCCCCTTCATTAGATAAGGGAAACTCTTGTTGAACCTCTTCATTGGACAATGAATCTTGAATCGGCTCTTGAGTTGCCCAACTTTGTACTTGAGCCATCATGTTTTCCGATTGAGTTTGTAACTCATCCACTCCTGAAGACGTTTGCATTATCAAACTCATCAACTTGGACATCATCTCGGGCTCTTGATCAAGGGTTGAAATCCTTGTTGAGGCTCTAGGTAAGAGGGCTCTTGAAATTGGCACAAATGTTGGTAGTTAGGAGCCAATGTATAGCAATTTTCGGCATCATGTGCTCCTCCACAAATGGTGCACCATAAAGGTTGTGGCATGGTAAATAGTGGTGTGCCTCCTTGACAAGCTTCTTGACTCATGTAGGCAAGATTGAGATGTGGTTCATGTTGTTCCATTCCTCCATATGTTTGGCTCATATTCCAATTCATATCGTATCCATAAGGAGGAATTTGGAATGGTGGTAAGGATCTTTGAAACTCATACCCATACATATTTGAGCAATTAGCACTTGAGCACATAAAGCAAATAAAAAAAAGAAAGAAAAAAAAAATGGTCTAGTCTCCTAGAATAGTCATTCACCAATGTTAACTATCACAAAACAATCAAAACCAAGCAATCCCCGGCAACGGCGCCAAATTTGATGATGACGTTTTTCACACATCCATCAAGTATCAAATCACAGTATAGAGTTTAGATATCGTTCCACTGGAGATGACTCTTGTAATGTTAGAAATTGATGTAAAGTGGAGTTAAGCACAAGCTAAAACTACCCTTTTAGAAGCTAGACCTATCGATAAGGAGATGGTTTGATATGATTAAGCTAATAACAAATAAGACAAGTAAAACAAAGGACCGGGACTTGGTTGATTCAAGCTAAGATGCCAAATATTGTACTCAAGATTAGGGAATTAAACAAGGCATAGGGTAAGTGAGATGCACAAAAGTGTCCAAATACCACTCTCGTAGCTATTTGGACTTGCAACCTCACATTAAACTCCACTCTCATGGTAATTCAACCCAAGGATGCTCAAACAAGAATACAAGGCAAAGATTTTCCTTAACACCCGAAATACTCTCGTATTGGGCATTAAGTGTGTGAATGTGTGGCTAGTGTACAAGCTCTACTCTCGTAGCAACAAACACACTCTAAATGAAGCATATAATTGGGATCCAACAATCATACACAAATTTCTCAACAAACCCATTTCACACAACAACCCTAGATCACCTAAATAATCCCCTTTATGCAATACAACTCAAATAGGCATCAATAGCAAGAAATCAAACCAAATCCTAGTCCCAAAACACTTAGCTACTCATAATATAACAATAGATACACAATATTAAAAGAGAAATTGAAAGCATAGATGAAAAGTAAAGAGAAGAGATGAATAAGAAAACTTCTCTATTGAAGTCTTGAAATCCAAGATTTGCAATGTTCTTGAGCTTGGAAATGGAAAGGAACCACAAATCTACACTAATCTAAGCTATTTTAAACTAACCCTAACTAGAGAAATGAAAGGGAAATGAAAGATGTAATGAAAGATATATTTTGGGGTGGAAAAATCCTCTTAAAAGGGGTCAAAACTCGCTGCAAAAAGTTGCAGAGGGCTGGCCACGGGCGTGGCTTCACCCGTGGCCAGAAATGCAGGGCACACTGCCCAGTGGCCGTGGCGTGGCCACAGGCAGTGTGCACTGCCTGTGCACTGAGTTCATCTTTTACGCAAATTTTCACCCTCGAAAGGTTTGAAGTAGCCTTCGTGGTCTTCATCAAAGGTTTGAATTAGCTTTCCAATGATATAAAAATCACTTGATTTGGATACTCCTAGATCTAGATATGGTCAAAATACGGAGACTGCGCCAATCTGGGCGAGAAATGCCACCTTACTATCTTTTGCTTTGCCTTTGCTTTGAATTGCCTATATCATCAAGACCACTAAGGCACAAATATTTGGCACATGAAAGAGTGTTGTTCAATCTTCTTTTCTTCATTTTACCTCACAAAAATATCCTCATGCATGATGACTTGAAATCTTGATCAAATAACTCAATGTTTGGCTCAAAACATCATTTTCTTGTCAAGTCACCTAAGCACAAACAATCATTCCATAAGTTACCAAATTGGCTCAATAATATAATGATTAACAAGTAAAAATACCAAAATGTGCAAGGAAAAAGCATTAGTTTTAGACATTCATCATACATCATCAAGTAAAGAAAAATTAAAAATGGAAAGGAAATATTTCAATAATAATATTCTACATCATCAATAGTAAAAACATATTAAAAATTGAAAGAAAATTAAAAATGAAACGAAAATATTTGAACAATAATATTCTACATAATAAATAAAAATAGAACGAAAATTAGGTAAAAATATCACTGCATATACATTCTAATTGACTAAAATGGAATCTTTTTTTTTTTTTGAATGTTACTGGCCCTACTACATTGTAGTATCTGTTCATATACTTTCTCAACCTACTGAAACACAAAGAACCAATAACGCCTTCACTGTGGCTCAAACTTGTAACCTTCCAAATGGAAGTCCAACTCGGGTACCATTAGACCACATAGTCTTGGTACTAAAAGAATAATTGGCTAAAATGGAATCTAATATTACTAATTGACTTAAAATATAAAAGAAAATGGTCTTGATTTTCAAAAAAAAAATCCATAATTGACTAAAATAAAAAAAAAAAATGGTCAGATCATTGCATTATAATTAAAAAGTAGATGAAAATATTTCAATAATAATATTCTATATCATCAATAATAAATGCATATTTTAAACAATGGTAAAGGTAAATTAAAAATGGAATGAAAATATTTTAATAATAATATCTATATCATCAATTAAAAATGGAACGGAAATTAGGTAAAAATATCACTGCATTTGATATTCTAATTGACTGAAATAAAAAAGAATAATTGACTAAAAATGAATCTGATATTACTAATTGACTGAAAATATAAAAGGATTACTAATTGGGTGATATCCTACCATTATATATTCACCCGAGTAACCCGTCCTGATGGACTGAAGGTGTTAGCTCTAGACGAGGATGTACAAGATTGTATTGGCACTACCAATGTCGTCTACAAAGAAGTTTCAATAATGTGTAAATACAATCGTTGATATTATGTTTTTTTAAATGAAAAAATTGCTATATATATATAGACAAAAAAAAAATATATCTTCCATATATACAAATGAATTAAGATATATAGCAATTCATTCTTATAACTGAGTTGCTAGAGAACGAGCCATTTGCCTAATTTATATAAAAAAAAATACTAAACAATGATAATAAAATCTCCAAAATTACAGCACTGCATGCGTACATCTACACATTAGCTATTAATTTGAGCAATTATTTGCTCAAATTCAAACAATGATAACATCAAAACACATAAATGATTCAAATCACATCTTCAATTGCACTATATAATATTTGATGTTCTAATTTAAATAATTATATATCGATCCAAATATTCTTAATATATTACAACAAATCCATTCCGTGCACCGCACGGGCGAAAATACTAGTTTCAATAATAATTAGATAATTGGGGTTGGTGGGCAGGAGGGGGCAATCGTTATATCGTGGACCAGGGTCCACAGTGCACTGTGGACCCTGGTCCTAAATGATTTAGTTTTGAATTATAATTTTGACCGCAACAGTTTATTGTTCAATTCACGTTTCAGGATTTTTTTTTCTGTAAAGCATGTGTATGTGTCTTGTGTTATGCGTTTTTGTGTCTCATGTTATGCAATTCTGTACCTTAAATGTATAGATTCTGTACCTAAAATAGATTAGTAGTTGTGTAACACAATACATATTGTTTGTCTTATTTTACGAAATTATATCATGGATTATGAAATTATGTGACTATAGGACATATACTATCTACGTAAATAAGATTTGAGAATAAGTAAATATATAATATGTATATGTATCTTGTGTAGTGAGTTTTTGTGTCTCGTGTTATAGAATTATGTACCTTAAGAGTATTGATTTTGTACCTAGAATAATTTAAAATTTATATTAAACATGAGAAACGTGAAATTACAGAATCTGTTAAAACTTAAATATAAAAAAAAAACGTCGTTTTGATCCAGAATCCATAATGCTATGTAGACTCTGGCCACGATACAAAATGCCGTGGGAGGGGGGGGGGGGTGGGTGGAGAGGGGATGGAATATGAACAATACTGAAATCGCGAAGCGTGATTTTTTTACTTTTATTTTTTGAGAAGAAACAAAACAAAATAAACAGGTTTATGCAAATATAACAGACTTATTTACCTACTTACCCTTATTCATTGGTCATGTTGGGTGGACACCGATAAAGAATTCAGTTCATCAATTGATGATAGGTAAGCGCTTGATCCTAACAACTCATTCTTTACCTTCCCCTGGGTGAAGAATTTAAAAAGCATGAAATGTGAAACAATCAGAGATATAATGGAGTAATAGAAAGAGACCTGAATATTTTTAGAAAGAGATATTGGATTTAGTCTTCTATGTGATTGAATTATGCTATGAGTTACACTGCCTTATTCATTCCTCACTCTCTACCTTCCCAATCATCACATCCTTCCCTTAAGATGTTACATTAGGAGTTATCTATTAACCTTCTGGACACTGGAAACAATAAATTAAGGGTTATTAAAAAAAAAAAAAAACAGGTGGACACATTTATATAGGTAAGGAAATATGAGATACAGAAAATTGAGAGAAAGCATGCACATAATTATTGATTGCAAAAAATTGATAGAAAGAGACCTTAATATATTTCTAGAATGAACAAGGAGGGCTTCATTTCCATAGCTTCGCTGCCCATCTTGAATAAGCTTCGCAGAAGTCAAAACGGAATCCAAGCAGTATTCTAATTGAATCAATTCAAGTGTGGTAATATCGGCAAACGCAATAGGGATCTCTCGCAACAAACTGCAACCAGTTAACTCTAAATTTTGAAGCACAGGAAAATGATCATTCACGGCATTCCAATCTTCCAAAATTCGGCTTCCAATTACCAACCTTTCAATTGACGGAACCCTCCCTCACAGGGATTTTGACTGAAATGGGCATTGGGAAGTGTTTGTGGACAATAATGGGAGGTCAAATTTTTTTTGACAAGAATAGGAAAAACGAGTTTGGGAAATGTGGTTGTGGTCAAAACCGCATTTCCCAAACTCGTGTGGGGCGCACGCATATTCTACGGACAACCGCATTTGGGAAATGCGGTTGTCGTATAATATACAACAGCCGCATTTCTCAAATGCGGTTGCCGTATAGACGTAGCCGCGTATGAGAAATGCGGCTCTCGTATGTAATAAGAAAGCCGCATTTCCCAAATGCGGCTATGGTATTTCTTTGTCGCCGGCCGGCCAACCGCCGGCGATAACCCGGCGACATAAACGCGTTTGGGAAATCCGTTTTTCGAAAAACGCATTTCCCAAACGCGTTTATGTCCTCCGCGGGCCGGATATTATTCTAATGTTTTGCTACATACATCCCTTTTTTCTAGGCACATTATATTTTTCTAAATTTTGCGACTCTAGTGCGCGTGTTAGTATCTGATAGTCTACATTTACATATTTATACTTTTTTTGAAGTTGAGTAGAGTAGACTAGAGTTGTGGTTGGAATTTATGTGTGTATTAAACTACACATTACGAAATTTAATTTGAGGATACAATACAGAACAAGAATTTTGAGGGCGTTTGTAGTATGTAACTGCAACATAATATATGCATCTAATTTGTGGTTTTTAAGAAAGCCGTAAAAAACAAAGCATAAAATTTTGTATATGCATGTTTCATGATATTGTATTCAATTAAAATTTTATGCATAATGTTAATAAAAAAATTGTCAATTACATGGTATATATAAATCATATAATAAATGATTACAAATTACATAGTTTGAAATATAAAATTGCATAGCTTTTGAAAGACTAATATTACACATTGAATATTATTTTGCATAAATAAACAAATATTCGTTACAAATTTCACAAAGGCAAACCCATGTGGGAGCGTATAACTTGTCAGCTTATAACATGTGGGTGACGCCACGAATGAATAATATCCCATTCGGGCTTTGAATTGAAGGAGTATGTATGCGGAATTGTGAGGCTGCTGTCCCCGACGAATAAATAATGTCCCTCTTGGATTTTGAATTGAAGGAGTATGTCTGCAGAACTGTCAGGCTGCTGTTCTGACAAAAGAACTACCCCTCGTTGTCATTGGAACTTTGATTGAGGTGCATTTTGTCAATGTAAAACCAACCTAGCAATGTAAAGTGAGAGTTATAGAAAAAAAAATTAAGATGTGGTTGTATTAAAAATTTAAGATAATTACGTCGAAACTCACCGCAAATCCAACAATTCCGTGCATAACAAGAGCAATTGATTGTGATTGTAATCACAAGCACTTGCTCTAACCTCAAACCCAACGAACAGAAGGATAGCAATGGCGGAAAGAACCTTTCCCTTCGGAATCGCTCAAAACTCTCATCTCTCGGGTTTATAGGCATTCGCGAGATTTAATTGTATGACATTCAACATTATCCACCGTTGTATCAGGGTGTGATAAAATTTCAAACATTTTGAAAAATTTCCAATCAAAAAATAGAAATTTACAACTCCAAAATTTAGAAAAATACAGCATGTAATTCAACATGATTAAATATCTTGTTGAAATTCAGGAATGCAGAGGGAACAATTTATAGTCCAAGATGTGTAATGCATCCAAAAAAAATTATAATTCTACCTTTATTAAATTCACATGGGCTGTCAGCCCTGAGATGACAACCCATGCGTTGTCATCTCACGGCTGACAGCCCATGTGCGATGTCAGCCCGGCTGACAGTCCCGTATGGGCTGTCAGCCCGGCTGACAGTCCCGTATGGGCTGTCAGCCCGGCTGACAGCCCTATGGGCTGGCGCCGAGATGACAGCCCATTTGGGCTGTCATTTCGATGGCAGCTCCAGCCCATGTGGGTGTCATAATGAGATGTTATCTCATTATGACAACCCATGTGGGTTGATTCATGCATTGTTTTTAACCGCGTAGTGTGTTGAGTTTTTTGAAGTGTGGCTTTTACAAAGTGTCATGTAAAAGTTTGTATTTTGGAACCGGAGTTAATTAAAGGTTAGTGTATTTTAGCATTTTTTATTTTTTAAAGTTTATTTTTGATAGTTTGTAACGCGTTTTTTATCATAGTTATATCTGATATGTATTTTTTTTTTTTTTTTTGCAGGAATTACCTTAAGGAAAATGGCAGGTATGAATTTCACTTCTGTATATGAAATTATTTTTATTGTAAGTATAATTTTATCATGTATGAGATTTTATTTTCTATAGGTAATCAGGTGGTTGTGTTGATATGTCGTCATCCCGAACATGAGGGTCATAAAGATGATGTGGATTTCAACATTGCTCCCCAAAATGCCGTGTTCGTCTCTGCAACATGTTCGTTCGAACAGTTAGTGTCCGAGATTAAGAATTGTCTTCAAATTGGAGACAATGTTGGTGATATATTGTTATGGGGAAAATTTCAGCCAAATCAATCTCAGGGTGATGTAGTTTATCCATTTCCAATAACTGATAATCAGACGTGGTCATATTTTTTGGGGGCTATGTCAACGTTTGGGGCGCTAGTGGTTTTTGTGAAACTTCCACTGCCTTTCCATTCAACATTGAACATGAACATTGTTCAAGGGGGTATTAGCGTTGACCGCACGGCCATTAGAACATGTGAAACACGAATGCGTAGTGTTGGTCGATCACGACAAAGCACGCAAGCAGAGCACATACAGATAGTACCAATGGATCATCTTATTTGTGACGTGAATAATGCCATTTTAGACGAAGAAACAAACACAAGTGGGGATGAATGTTTGTTTCCTTCCGATGATGATGACGACCCTGATTATGAGCCCGTTGAAGAGGTTGAATCGTCTGCCAACACGTCCATACATGATACGGGTGCTCGTCCGCTAGCACATGATCCAGATTGGTACAATGATTATACAGCATACGAGAATGCTTTTCAAACTGCTAGTTCGTCCATTGGAGTTGGAATGGTGTTCGACAGCTACCGACAGTTAAAGAATATGGTGACACAACACAATCTTGACCAACATATGCAGTTTAAAACGGCGACCAAGAAGAGCAAATATTGGAAGGCTACCTGTTTATATCCCCAACAGTGTGCGTGGATGATTAGTGCTGCGCAGATCCAAGATTCTGATGCATGGAAAGTCAAAAAGTTTCATAATATCCACGGATGCCGTGTGGATTATACGGAGGGCTGAGATGACTACAACCTTACCAGTAAAGTAATTGCGGAACTAATTTTGCAAAAAATTGCATATGATCCGTGATACAAAATTAAATACGTCATCGAAGATGTCAAGGCAAAATGGGGTATTCGGGTTGATTATAAGAAGGCTTGGTACGCAAAGGTCATCGCGTTGGAGACGCTGTATGGAAAGTGGGATGAGTCATACAACATATTGCCACAAACGTTAATGGCCATACAGCAAACAAGTCCAGATTCCGTTGTTGATACTGTGTTCACGCAAACGGGAATCCCGAATGAGTTCCGATTTAAGTATGTGTTTTGGGCATTCAAACCGGAAATTGAAGGGTTTAAACACTGTTTACCCGTACTTACGGTCGATGGGACGCATTTGTACGGAAAGTACAAAGGACACCTTCTATTAGCAGTAGCTATAAATGCCAAAAAAGAAATACATCTAGTTGCATACTCAATTGTTGACGCTGAAACAGGAGATAGTTGGAGTTGGTTCCTGAGATTGGTGGCTGAAAATGTTTTTGGCGATTTGGAACACATTTGTATTATCTCGGATATGCATGGTGGCATCGACCATGCATTTCGGGAAGTACCTGAACTGGCCGAGCCGCGGGTCCAGCGTCGATACTGCCTTCGACATTTGTGGTCAAATTTGATGACCAAGTTTAAGAACAAGGAATTAAAAAATCTGTTTTGGCAGGCCGGTTGTGCTATGGATGTTCGGGGGTTTGAGGCGGTAATGAGTATAATTCGGGCAAGTGATGAGGCGGCATATAATTACTTGATGGCAATCCCTGCCCGGTTTTGGGCCCTAAGTCACGATGGGGGATTTAGACATGGATTGATGACGACCAACAGCTCGGAATCTTTCAACAACAGTCTAAAGCGTTGTCGTCTTCTGCCCGTCTCGGCTATATTGAAGCTAACGTACGAAAAAGCTGCTTTAATGTTCGCCGAGAGGCGTACAACTGGACTGGTAATGCAACAAGGGGGGTTGCAATGGCCACGTAATATTCTCGATGAGATGTTGAAAAGGGAGAGCCACAAGTACCGCGCCATTGTAAAACGCCATGATGACCTTGACGGTATATATTCGGTTGCGATTGAAGGTGATATAAATAGGTACGGGAGACCAAACTTCGTGGCGATTAACATCAACGAACAGGTTTGCAACTGTGGCCAGTGGTCTGTGGACGGACTGCCATGCATTCATGCACATGCGGCATGTCATTACGTTGGTAGAGTCCCCGATGGTATGGTTCCGGATATATATTCCCTTGCTAAGTATCTCCAAACTTATGAAGGAACCATCATGCCTTTATTGTCTGAAAATTATTGGCCAGTCCCATCCTTTACGATGTTGCCCCCAACAGTTCGACCTGCTGTTGGTCGACCAGGTCGCCGCGAAAGTACAAGAATTCCGAACGAAATGGATTTGAGGGGAAAGCGTTGTAGTGTTTGTCGTTCAACAAACCACGATATTCGACGATGTCCACGGTTGCAAAGGGATTAATGTGTAATATTAATGTATTATCTGAGCTCACATCGGTGTCTTTCGTTGTTATGTTTAAATACAAGAAATTGGCCCCAAAAAAAAAAAGTTTCATCCACTCAAAAGAAAACAAAATAGGTGACTAGTCATTCGGACTAGTCACCTTGGTTGTTGTCAGTGTACAACTGACAGGAACGTGATTACTCACGTCACTGGCTGTCAGTTGTACACTGACAGCAAGCAACTGGGCCGGACTGTCACAATTGTCACCAATTGTGACAGTCCGGCATTTATTTACTGATTTTTTTTTTATAAAACCGGATTTAATTAATTGGCCCCCAATTATTGGGGGCCATTTTTAAATAAGGTTAAAAAAAAACTTATACTAATTTGATCGAATATATATATTGATAAGTGCAATATTAAAATAGAAATTCAATTGTGCATTACAACAAGTAGAACAAGTAATTACACATTGATTATGTGCCACAAGGGGATCTTCTAATATTACGCGCTGGACGACGACGTTGGTAGTGTACGTGAACTCTGGACTGTTGCTGTTCTTGGGTATTGTTCACCACCTGAGATGTATTTATTGTAGCGTCTTCGTCATAATAATTCTGAATTGCATGTTGAAACGGCTCATTAGGCCGGAGATGCGAAGCGCTTCGAATTCGTCGTCCGTCATGCACCGGAGGTGCTTGTGATGACGACCCAACCGCATACAAATTTGTTTGGTCCGCATATGCGTGTGGGGTCATGAATGATGCACCGACCATTGTTGATTGGTTGAGATCTAATTGAGTGATATCTCCCATATCATATTCAGTATGAAATCCCTGCTCCTCTAAATTAGGACCTCGGCCGTCGGGTTCATCAACGTTTCCTTCAACATGTATGTCATCATTAAGATCCAACTGGGGAATACGGCCACGTCGTCGACCACCTTGCGCACGTCGACCATGGCGGTTATCATCCCGCCGTCGATCCGGAGGGCGCACTTGCTCGGTTGGGGCATAAAGAAAATCGTCATTGTCCCTAGGAAAATCCATAACATAACCATAATTTAGCCGAACAAGTTCGTGTCTTGCAATTTGTTGCATTGCAATGGTACGACTGTTGCTTTCTCCCTGTTTGACTGCAAGTTCTCCGTGGATGTTAATATGTCGTAACGCTTCCACCTATACAATTTATAAATTGTTAACAAAAAATATTAGTGTAATTATTTTCAAAAATTCTTCATTTTTTACATTATTATTTTTCAAAAAATTTGAAATATTTTCGAAAATTCTTCAATTTTTTACAAAAGTATTTTCAGAATACTTTGATATAAAGTATTATTACCGTTTCAATGTATGATGGCGCTGTCTGCATGTACCCCTCGGAGCGACGATGTTGGAGATTACCGATAACTCGTCGACCAACTCGGTAGAACTAATGCTCATAAGCTTGGCTTACATATGGGCCAAGTGGTGCATGTGGTGGTATCTGAACTACGTACTGTGCTCGGTCTTCCCACATAGCAACATATAAGTGATGGCGAACATCCCATTGTTCATTCCTAGTACGACCATCTAATTTGTGTAGTTCGGGGTCATACTCCACGTGTGTTGGAATGTCTTGGTAACCACCAAATTGCCTACAAACTCGGTCCGGATAGTGCCACTCGATGGCATAAAAAACAGTAACGGAACACGTGCAGTACAAACATCTCGGCCTTCCCGACAGAAAATTGGCAAGGCATCAACGTTGTATGGCGTCCACACAAACTGCATTTTTAAATTTGAAGCTATTTCTAAATTAAATTATATCTCACACATAATATAAAATATTTTTAAAATAATTATTATTTTAAATAATTAAAAAAAAAAACAAATATCGTCTCCGGCCAGAGACGAAGAGGTTATCCTCATCTCCATGGCTGGAGACGAAGAAACTCTTCGTCTCCATGGCCGGAGGCGAAGAGTTCCTTCGTCTCCGGCCATGGAGACGGAGTTAACTTCTTCGTCTCTGGCCGGAGACGAAGAAGCTTCCTTCGTCTCCGGCTAGAGACGAAGAGGTTATCTTCGTCTCCATGGCTGGAGACGAAGAAACTCTTCGTCACCATGACCGGAGGCGAAGAGTTCCTTCGTCTCCGGCCATGGAGACGGAGTTAACTTCTTCGTCTCTGGCCGGAGACGAAGAAGCTTCCTTTATCTCCGGCTACAGACGAAGAGGTTATCTTCGTCTCCATGGCCGGAGGCGAAGAGTTCCTTCGTCTCCGGCCATGGAGACGGAGTTAACTTCTTCGTCTCTGGCCGGAGACGAAGAAGCTTCCTTCGTCTCCGGCTAGAGACGAAGAGGTTATCTTCGTTTCCATGGCCGGAGACGAAGAAACTGTTCGTCTCTATGGCCGGAGACGAAGACTCTCTTCGTCTCCGGCCAAAGAGACGAAGATAACTTTGCTTCGTCTCCAGCCGGAGACGAAGAAGGTTTCTTCGTCTCCGGCCATGGAGACGTCTTCATGGCCGGAGACGAAGAAACCTTCTTCGTCTCCGGCGGATTTTTATTTATTTTTTAATTATTAATATTAAGTAAATATATTAAATAATAATTTGAGAAAATTTTTTTTTGAAAAGGTGTGACCTGGTAAGGAATATAATATACTCACGTTATCCACTTGACATCTATCGAGTTCATCACGATATGCTGCATACGTGTGATTAGAGGTAGATGTCCATGTGTGAGGACAATGCCATCTACATTCAACATACCCATGTGTTACAAAACATTGTGCATTTAGGGTTAAACAATGTCATAATGTAGATAAAAATTACCGTGCACCATAAGGTCTGGACAAATCATTTAATGGGAGTACTCTCGCCGGTCGAGTGCAAGGCAAGCGCTCCCATGCCAATAATTGAACCAAAAGTAGACAACCTCCAATAACAGATTGGTCAAAATTTGCAGCGCGACAAAGATATCTGTATAAGTATGCTAGCACACCCGAACCCCAGCTATATTGACCACACATTGTAAAATCCTCAATACAATCCAACAAACATAATTTAATACTATTACGACTCGTTTCTGGAAACAGTAATCCACCCAGAAATAATAAAATTATGCCACGCACGTACTGTTCCAGTTCTTCATCATTGGCATAGTCGATATTAATAGTATTCACGTGTTCATTTAACACAGTAATATTTAAAGACGATTTGCTATACGCACCATTTCTGGGAGTAAATCCTAAAAAGTTCTGAATTTGCACTAAACGTTCTTCTTTATTTTTTTCAATTTCTCCAATTAATGGCCTGCCATCAATTTTTGACCTGAGTAAAACTTCTACATCTTGGAGAGTAATGGTTACCTCACCGAACGGCAAGTGAAATGCATGTACTTCGGGCCTCCACCGTTCAACTAATGCCGTAATCAAATGATGATCAAGTTTCATATCACAACCTAATCGTGTAAGTGCTAAAAATCCTGCCCGGCGTAACAATTCCTCTACACGATCGTTCACACGGAGGCTTCTAAAAGCATTACGAGCATAATGCACACACGATAACAGCGCTTCGAAATCTTCGTAGGCCCACACAAACTCTGATCGATGGACCTTTTGAAATGTTAACAAACTTGGATCGATTGGGCCGGGATGTAAATAATTTTGACTCATTTTTATCAAAAAAAGAGTAAAATTTAAAGTCACCAGAGTGCCAATTTTCGTGTATAGTACTTTGGAAAAAATAACTTGCACATTAATTTTTCAAGGCCTGTTGGTGTTACATTAATATCTTCTATTTATAGGATGTTTTATTTTTTTTTTTTTATACTTTCAACACACCACATTTCTGACTGACGCGTCAGCCAGAAATGGCTCTTGCAGTTCACTGACGTGACATGTCACGTCAGTCTATATAGGGACTTCACTGTCAGTTTGCATTCAAACTGACAGTCAAGTCCCAAAACTAATTAAGCCTCCATTTTTTTTTGTTTATTTTTTTTTATTTTGGGGAAAACTAATTAGCTAACATAATATTGCAAGTAATAGAAACGGAATAATAATACATTAACAAATAGAAGTCGATAGAAGTCAGTAACAGAGATGATAATTCTTTTTTGCATTCAATTCAATTTCACAACATTTTAATACATCATTTTAATGTATCCATATACATATAGATATCTATGTATCTATATGTGGATACTACTAACTCTATTACAAAATTTTAAATATATGGATGATAATACGAACAACAACTGCATATTCCATTATCGGATACCTGCATTAAATGCACCGCACATTGGCCCAATTATATAACTAGATCAAGTTTAGGCTGGGGTCGTAGCTAGCAGTATTATACTTGCATACTTGGCTAACTCAACCCCGATATATATAATAAAAATAAATCATTTTCAATTAAATTTTACAACATATTTTTTTAAAAAAAAATATGTCGCGAGATTTAATTGTATAACGTTGGTTAATCGCGAGACTTAATCGGATGACTTTGACTAACAACTGTCTCAGATCTGCATGATTTGAACCTGAAACGATTGAAAATGACAAATTCATTACATTCTAAAACAATTAAAAAAACTAAGTGACAATTAAATAACATTAAACATTTACTATTATGGACTACATATATTTTCTACTAAAACAAACATACATAACAATTTATTTATTCTACTTACCGTTTCTTTTTCTTGTTTCGCATAGCTAGAATATATAGGAAGCTTCCTGAGTTTATCATAGAGATTTACTTTGCTACACAACTCAATTTATAGTGCTGGACTAGTGGTAGCCTTATTATATAATATTGTGTCAGAATTTTAAAAAAAAAAAAAAAAATAAGATAAAAGCGCGTCTCACCCTTCAGCCTGGTGGGCGCGTGTAACACACGCGCCCACCAAGGCATTGATGTTCTGATAATTGGCAACGGCCTTCTGGCCGTTGCCAATTATTGTATTTATTTATTTTTTTGTGTTTAAATATATTAATTTGATATTTTAAATTTAATAATGTGATTTGTACA